GAGTACTTCTTTCATTTTCTTTTCTACCAAGACTGTTTTTAAGTTAGTTAACATATAGTGTAGCATTGGTCTCAGGAGTAGAATTTAGTGATTCATCACTTACATCACTTACCTACAGCACCCATCATCACAGCTCATCACAGCAAGTGCCCTCCTTAATGCCCACCACCCATTTAGCCCATCCCCCCACCCACCTCCCCTCCAGAGTACTTCTAAACAAACCCTAGCTATCAGTAGAACAGGAATTCTACCTTTAGAAACTCAGTTCTCAGGGATGTTGTTATCTGTTTGACTTTGAATTGTTGCTTAATCTCTTTAGACCTCAGTTGACCTGTCAAATGGGAGTGAGGAATCCTGTTTGAGGGGGTGGCTCTAGTCTTCATGAGCAATCTGGAGAAGCGTTCACACAAAAGTCCTTGAGAAACAAATTCCTCCCATGGCCAACGGCATTCTCTTTCCCACTGTCTGCTGCTCTCGGCTCTCGCCAGGAAATTGATTTTATTTATAAGAATCACAACCCTAAACTGACCTTTGTTGGGCGACCCACATTCCCTCCCTCATTTCCCTCTCCTACAGGGACATCCCCCCTCCAAGATTCCTCAGTGACCACAGAGCAACCAGCACTGAAGAGTGCTTAGGAAGTCAGACGGACAGACATGGGGATGCTGAGGCCTGGAGAGCTCAGTGACTCCTCCAAGGAAACAGACTGCATGGGTCTCCCCATTCCCAAGCCATCGCTTTCTTCATGGCGCCATGACAGCTCTGCTTCCTGTCTGTGCCTGGGCAGACCTGCCACCCTCCCTCAGCTTGGGGAAAGTCTCCCTTCTCTGAAAGACAGGAGCCTTCAGAGAAACATTTCCCATCATTAAGGGATTTGCAAGAAAACTGGCACAGCTTCCTTAGCTTTGAAGCTTGTTAGCCCCTCCTGGCCCTTTAATTGTGCTTGGATCCAGCCCAGTTCCCAGAGCTCCTACCCTTTCAGAAGAGGGGAGGGGCCCACAGCAGAATGCCCGCCACCCAGCCTGGCCATTCAGCACCAAAGGTGATCCCTCGGTATTTCTGTTTCAGACCATTTCATTGCCAAAGCATCAAGGGATCCCACACAAAGAGCTTCAAAGTCACAAGGGCTCAGGGTCAAGTGCAACCACGAGCAAACCCCCACCTTTGGACTGTGCAGCATCACTTTTGAGACTGTTTTGGAGCAGTGTTCCCATCGCCTTTAAAGCCTATAATAGCTTAGGGTGCATTACATTAGATTTCGGGAGGGATCACAGATTTGGCGAAAGCACATCACGTGAGTATGGAGGAGGTACAGTCTTATTCCGTGCGTGCTTTTCATTTTCCAGGTGAAGGTGTGTATATGTAACTAGCGATTTGGCTGCACACCTAAATCCCCTAAAGACCTCAGTTGCAAACCTAGACCAACTGAGTCAGAATATCTTGAGTGGGTCTACATAGCCTCCCCCCGCCTTTTTTTTTTTTAAGGTCTTCTGATGGTTCCTATATGTGGCTAAGGTTAAGAACCACTGCTTTAGGTAAAGCTTCAATAGGAAAAACCTGAGCTCCTAAGCATCAAAAACCAAGTCATCCAGATGATTCCTCTGAAAGTGACATGAGTATTATCAATCCGTCCATCTCTCTTAATTGATTTTTCTTGCGCAGACCTTCCCTGACCACAGAACCCAGTTTAAGCTTTAAAGTGTTTTTACTGGCTTGACTCGTCACTGCTCATCTCTACCCTGCAGTACCTTAGAAAAAAAGTGCCCTCTCCTGGGAATCAGGTGATCTGACTCAGAAACAAACAAACAAAAACAGAAAAGGAGTGATTACACCTTCAACCAATGACTGTGAGCCAAATTACAGTGAACAGCTCAAGCTGACAGCTTGGATCCAAGTGTGATGCAAATTCAGGAAGCTTCCGCGGGGACGGTTCCAAGTGCAATCCACAGATAGTAGGTCAGTCACATTTGGCCCTAGACACACTCACCAGCTGGAAGAGCAGTAGAAACCAGAATTCTTGACCACATGGTGTGAGTTCAGCCAATGCCCCTCCCCGCCCACAGTGATCCAAGGGTGCCCTTATGAGAGTCAGAAATATGTAAACGTCCAAGCATGGGAGCCTTCTCAAGGGGCCCCGGAGATGCTGCCACAGCTTATAGAACCCCAAAGACAGTCATACAAGAAAGAGCAACCCCACCAACACTTTTTATGAGAACTCTTATAAACTCCAGCTCTCTGGGGAGACACCCCTGCACAGTCTTCTCACCACCCCTACCCCTTGCTTTTTGCTGGAGAGAGCCATGGCTAGCTATCTAAACAAAATGGACTAGATGGGATGGGGGAAAAGTTTGGAAATGTTTCTGCATTAGACAGAGGGTGATGTTCCAACAAGTCTTTAGCTCCAGACCCCCCCCCTTTACATCCTTCAAAACAGTGGAAGATCAGCTCGAGTCTAACCATGACAGGCTTGTGTTGGAGGATGGGCGATAGGTAACATACACGCTAGGGAACGCAGAAAACAATTTTTCCTACATCAACTGCTTTGTAAGACTGACAAATTAAAGAAAACATTTTGAGAATCTGGACACAGCCATAGGGCACTCTGCCTATTTGGAAGAGCTCAAAATTGGGAATTTAGAAACACAGAACGAGGCATTTCAGTAACAAAATTTGAACGTGTCACAAATGAGAATTCTTCTTTGATATATGTTCTAAGAGCCCACGTAAATCTTGCCTTTCCATTTAACTTTGTTGTTAAAAAGATACCTAGTCATTCTGTAATGATTCAATCTTACCTTAAAGACAAAGGATGCCCTCAATCTCTGATGAGCCAGAGAAGTCTATGGATTCTAGTTAGAGTTGCCCTGGTTAATCTGAGATTTGCCCTCAACCCCCCCCCCCCCCCCCGCATGTCATGGAACACTGAAAGATGGGTTGGATTTGCCTATGCAATCCAAATAATTCTCAAATGGATCCATCCACTTATCACTCTGATTAACTGCAAAACGATGAGGCAGATACATGTGGTACCAAAAACATAAACACTCTGAACTGGAAACTAAGTTTCCCTCAGTTGGCAAAAACCCCCTAACGGATATTCCAGGGTGGGAGGATTTTAAGCTCCCGAGAGAAAGAGATAACTTAGAAGGCTTTCTCAGGTCAAGGGCCAAGTCAAAAGCTATCAATACAAAAAGCTTCTGATAATAACTGGGCATTTAGAAAGAAGGCCCCAAATGTTAGGATTTGCCCTAACGTAGGTTAAGATGCTGATTTGAGAAAGCAGCTTGCTTCATGGACCTTCGTCCTGGAGCTGGTACCCCTTCATTTCACAATTCAGATATGGCACATCCTGACCTAAGGGGAACCTTCTAGAGGCCAACACTTGCAACTCAAGTCCTGAATTCCCTGTGAGGGTCCCTTCCAAAGGGCAGAGGGGAAGGGGGAGGCGGAGTGGGAGAGGGAGTAGCGACCTTCCAGTTTACAAAGAGAGGGGCTGTGGCTTCAAGTGTTCTCAGAGTACCTAGGAACGCATTCAGTCATTCCAGCATGAAACTGACGTGACCTCAGCAGAATTTGGGATGAAACACACACACACACACACACCCCCCCCAAAAAACCCAGTCGGGTAGAAATGTGAGAGAGGCCCCAGGGAGGGTTCACAGAAAGAAACCAAAGGTTGCAGATTAATTTAACCCTGTCCCCCCCCCCCCCCCCCCCCGCCGGCTCCTCCTGTCCTTGGCAAAGACCCTTTCTTTCTGCATGAAATGCTGCCTCGAATTTATATCTTTCACCCCCACCTGTAACCAGGTGACCCAGATGAGAAAAAGCAGTGGGAAAAAATCAAAAGACACGACTAGTTTAGGGAACTAAAGCTGGTCCCAGAAGTTTCCTTTATGTCAGTTTCTGAAATGCGAAACCACTGGGAATGAGATTCCTTGGGAATCTGAGCATTCTCCTTTACTACCCTTCCCAGGGGAAAATAAATATAGAAACAGTGTTTCCTCTCGCAGGTTTGGCAGGGGCGAGTCCAAGACTGGGAAGTTCAAGAGGTTTAAATGGGGGGAGGGGGAAGGGCAGCTGGGTAGGAGGCGTCCGCAGCGTCCCGCTGAAGGGGCAGCTCTTTAAGTGTTTGTTTGTTTGTTTGTTTTGTTTGTTTGAAAAGCTCTTAAATCCTTGGCTTCTAGACTGCAACCTCGGGGTTCCGAGCACGGGTGCGAGCCGGGCTGCGGGCACGAGCCGGGCCGTCCCGCTCACCAGGGTTTGGCCAAGATCCCCGCCCTCGGCCAAATCCAAAACATGCCCAGCTGCGCGCAGGGCTTAACCCTCGGTCCGGCCGCCGCCGCGCGCTCCACCTGCCGGGCATCCTGTTCCGCCCCTAGCCCCGCACTTCCCACCACCGCCCCCCCCGACCCCTGGCTGGGGATGGGAAAGGCTAGGAGAGAGACGGTTACCTGAGCGGCCGAAGGACAGGGACAGCCCGACCGAGCGGGAGTGGAGCTGCAAGCCCACCCCACCGCCCAAGCGCGCACCCGCTCGGGCTCTTCCCTGGGGTGTGCGGGCAGCCCTGCACTCCGGCAGGCGCCAGGGCGAGAGAACCCCACGGCTTTGCTCCTCTGCCCCCCAAGCAGCGCGGCGCGGTTCCGAATTCACTCAGGGTCTCCTTGGCCGTGGGCATCTTTCCTGGGCGGCCAGGACTTGAGAGGCGGGTCGCCAAGCGCACCTTCTCTCCTCCAACAGGTGACAGGCCTCGCCACGCCGACCCCCGCCCTGCGCGCTGGGGAGGGTCCGAGAGCCCCAACCGCGGCCACCACCCAGGAGCCCACGCTCCGGGTCTCCGGCCCAGGGTCGGGCTGGACGGGCGCAGCCGGCTCTGCCCACCTGGGTCCGAGCGGGACGCGAGGCGCCAGCGGTGCAGCCCCCCGCCAGCCCTGGCCCTCCTTGCGGACGCCGTGCGGCGCGAGTGGGGTGCGTGCGCGCCGCGCCGGGACCCGCGCCCTCACCTTTGTACCGCTCCATCGGGGCCCCGGCGTGCGCTCCCGGCCGCTGGGCTCCGGCGCTGCGCTCTCGGCGCTCGGCTCCGCGCCCGGGCCGCCGCGCTGGCCCCTCCCCGTGAGGTCACGCTCGCCGCCGGACCTCCTGGCGCGCCGGCCGCGCCCGGGGCGCTCGGACCCCGTCCCCGCCCGGCGCGCCGCCCCCGCGGGGGATCTCCGCCGCCGAGTCCTCGCGGCGCCCAGGTCCGTGCGCGCCCCGGGCCCTGCTCGCCGCCCGCGGCCGCCCGGCAGTTCCTTCTCGTCCGGGACCCGGGGGCGGCGGGAGGGCGCAAGACTCGGCTCTGCCCAAACCCTGGAGGAGGTTCTGGCGGGGGGCGGGCCTACGAGAGCTGTTCTTCCAACCGCTGGGCTGCAAACCCACTGCCCGGAGGAGGAGACTGAGGTCAAACCCCGGAGGCAGAGGCGCGCCTAGAGCGCCTGCTGTCGACCGCGGGGCGAGCGCGCTAAAGCCGTGGCTTCGAGAGGCGACTGGGGCATGGGGGTGGGGACACCCGAGCCCTGTCCGCGCGCCTGCCCCCGGTTCTTGGAGAATGGCTTCAGCCCTCTAGCAACTTCTCTTGGCATCCGCTGCCGATCGCGTTAGGGCGTCTGTATATGCCTACTTGCCTTCTTCTACCGGGGCCCAAGTTTCCCGGGAGCAGTTGTTATAGGCTCTCATGAGGACTAGAATTCCTGGAGCCGCCTGGACAAGTCCAGGAGCACCTGACCGTCGGTGGGGGGGTGGGGGGGGAGGTATCTGTCCCATAGGCGCTCGTCCACCCCTGGCTGTAACCACCCTGCACCGCTGCCGCTGAGCGCACCTCTATCCCTCCAGTCTCTTAACCTCATCTGCACCCAGAGGAGAGCCATGTTTTCCTTGAACTTCTCGATTTTCACTTTAAAATCTCAATCAGTTTATGCAGGATGCCTGGATTTTCAACATGTGTCCACCACTTTCTTGAAGGAGCATTAAAAAGATTTGCAGTGGGGCGTCTGGGTGGCTCGGTTGGTTAAGTGTCCAACTTTTGCTCAGATCATGATCTCATGGTTTAGTGTGTTCGGGCCCTGCATCGGCCTTACTGCTGTGAGTGCAGAGCCTGCTTCCGATCCTTTGTTCCCTCCTTTCTCTCTCTGCCCCTCCCCTGCTCATGCTCTGTTTCTTTCTGTCTCTCAAAAATAAATAAATGTTAAAAAAAAAAAAACTGTTACTATTTTCTAAAAGATTCCTTAAATCTCAGAACAGCAGATTTAGCTCTGATTTTGGGAGACCTTCTGGCCCCGGCAGTCTTAGAAATATTTTTCTTAGTCGCATCAGCTGCTAACATCCATGGAGCCCTCCCCACCAGCCGGGCATGCCCCTTGAGGCTGGTGTGCACACTGCCTTTCATTTCCCCAATAATTCTGTGATGGGGGGATTATTATTATTTCTATCATGTAGTCGAAGAGTCTGAGGTTTACAGAGGTTAAACAACTTGCCCAAGGTCACACAGTTAAAAGAAACAAACAAAAAGAACAGAGCAGGATTTAAACCCAGGTCTGCTGCTTCCAGATGTTCGTTCACAAAGCTTTCCTGGCGTGCATAGGAAGGGCCAGGCTGTCCGTTACCAGAGTGTGGAGCACACAGACAAGTGACCAAGGTCAATGCAGGGCCAGGTAGATGCTTGGATAAGGCGCAAGGGATTCTGGGAACCCTAGTGGAAGGAGCTGAGCCAGCCTGGAGAAGCCCTAGGTCCTAGGAGGGGGAGATGGCTGGTGGATCTTAAAAGGTGCGTTGGAGCTGGTGAGGCGACAGGAGAGGCAGAGTGAGTGCAGCCTTCCAGGTAGAAAGGACAGTGGGGACAAAGGCAGGGAAGCGAGCCCCTCCAGGACCACAATTCTCTGTCGCTGAAGCCACAGCGGGGAAGCCAGGGATGGACACAGTGAGGCTGAAGAGGTGGACACGGACCTGCTTGAGGGCCGCAAAGGCGGGGTAATCTGAAAACCAAAGGACTGGGTGGCACTGACAAGTGACAGTGCCCCAGGGTCCCTGGGAGGTTGAGCGGAAAGCGGAGTGCAGGAGACGGTTGCACCAGGCTCCTGATAAGTCACTGGGACACTGGAAACCGGCTGAGGAGGAGAGGACCAAGGGCGGACATATGCAGGAAGTGTGATGCCAGGGCTCTGGGCCTGAGCACAGGGTGTGCGGGAGAAGGAAGCACTGAGATTGACCAGAGTTTCCTGGTGGGTGGAGAGTTTCAGCGCTCATGCCCTCAGCCGGTCCTCAGACACTCACCTGAGGCCCTGTTGGGTGCCAGGGGCCCCCAGGCCCTGCACGGAGCCTCAGCGAGGCGGGCCAGGGACTCTCAAGGGCCTGGGGTGGATAGATAGTGAGCAGGACGAAAGATGAGCACCCCTAAGTTGGACACAGAAATAGCAGCAGGCTGGGCCTTTGGGGTAGAACGTGAAGGGGCCATGGTGCTTCCAGGGGAGTTAGAGCCCCGGGTCTAAGCCCTCAGATTCATCCATTATTTTACTCAATTCTCTCAGCCTCTCTTCCAGATGGGCTGGGTCCTTGGGGAGTCCAGAAATAGAAAAAGTGGAGGTTGAGGCAGGAATTTGGACATCGCAGGGCATCACAGGACAGGCAATAGTGCTCAGCGGAAATACACCGGCTCAGGATGGGGGGGGGGGTGCTTTTACCTTTTTGTGTTCTATTTTTCCCTTCTCTCCCTTCCTCCCTCCCTTTCCTCCTCTTGCAAATGGCCCTACATGGTGCCACCCTCCAAGCTCCAGTGTCTACAGATTACTGTCATGGGGTGTCTGGTTTCCTTTCTAATGCTCAGGGAGAATCTGATCGGGCGGCTCGTCCTTCTGAAACTAGCCGGTCACTCTTGGCCCGATTCCAGCTCTAACCGTCAGCAGAGGCCGACGAAGGAGGGTTCAGGTCCAGCCTCACCTGGCAGGGACTTTGTTGGAGGTGACCCTCTCAGAAGGGCTGAGAGCCAGTCTGGCTCCTGCTGTGGTCACTAAGAACAAAAGACAGGGATTAAACTATCCCTATCCTACAAATGAGGACACAAGTTAGGGGCCTGGCCCCAGTCACAAAGTCAAGTAATCTCTCTTTTGGAAGTAGGACTCAAAAATCAGGTTTCCCCATTCCAAACCCTGTGCTTTGTCATGCCCTTCAGTCGGGGCTCTAACCGGACAGGACTCTGCCCCAGCAGGTCCTTTGGTGGCCATTTCTGCAGCCACTTCCCGTAACTGCACCTGCTCTCTGCAGGCTGTGGGGGGGAAGGGGGCAGCTTGGCATCTCCATCATGCATGCTCCCTCTCCCGTTTCCCCGACTGGCTCCAGCCCTTTAATTACCTCTTCCGAAGTCCATTCTAGTTTATCAATAGAGACTTGGCAGATCCCGGAGCCTCTAGACAAATACAAATCAATCAGAGACATACGCAGAGTGAATTTAAAATGGGAACGCACTGCCATTTCCAAGAACGAAACCAAAACGCTACTTAAAACCATCAATATAAATCTTAGGCACTGCTTCCCCTTCTCTCCAAAACCTGGGTGCCATTCAACCCCGAAGCATTAGTGCACCTTCTCCACGTGGGCTGCTCACATTCATACTCGGATTCATTGAGCTTCTGGCCTCCAGGATCAGACAATCTGGTTTCCAACTCAGTCTCAACACTCTAGGTGCTATGAGTGACCCCAGCCCAGACCCAGAGGATCCGAAATGGGCTGTTCGGATCCAGACAGCCCTGAAACCAAATCGAGTGCCCCTACCCTGGAATCTAGAAGGTGGGTGTTCCCACCGAGCTCAGTGGGGGTGGGGGTGCATAGGGCCCTCTTGGATGTGTGGCTGAAGGTATCAGGCACACACAACACAACAGCAGGTTTTAGTCTCTGGCGATTCCTAAACACATTCTCAGCAGCAGAAAGGTTTCTTCAACCACAAGGGGGCTTCTCCAGCTGACGCAGTAAGGAGGGGCGGAGGTTTGCTTTACAACATTTATCCTGTCTAATTCTCACAATGATCCAGGCAGAAACTATTGTCCCTCAGTTCACACATGAAGACCTTAAGTAATCGCCCAAGGTCACCGCTGGGCAGGGCCCAAGTCAGTTGAGTTTGAGCGACATCTCTGACCCAGCTTCCCCACCCAGGCTCTCTTTTGTAATCCTGCTTGGTCACCAGCCAGGCCAGCAGCAATTCTGTACTTCATCCCTTGTCACTCTTCAAGAGCCAGCTCGAAAGTCACCTGCTCTAGGGATAGTCCCCTTCCCCAACACACCCTGTCCTCAGCATAGTATTGTCCTGGTCATCTGCCCCTACTCATACCAGAGTCCTCTGTGTTGTATTGTGATAATCCTCTGTCCCCAAGCTTGACATAGCACCCGCCCCCCACCCCCAGCAGTTGCTCCACCATGCCTGTTGAATGAATTAATCAATGACTTTTCCATTTTTTTCCCTCTTGGGGTTTTTACGAAAAGGACACACACACACACAGTGTCTTCTCTGGTTCAGTTTGATGAAACAAATAATTACCAAAGGACATATCCGATGTGTTTGGGCATGGGGTGGGATGAAGCAGGAAGAAGGTACCATTTGAATCAAGCCTTGAAGGGTTGAATTAATTCTTTTTTGTTGTCGCGATAAAATACACTTAAAATTTACCATTTAAGCCACTTTGAAGCGTACAGTTCGGCAGCATTAAGTCCATTCATGTTATGCAACTATCACCACCATTCAGAACACTGATACCATTCCAATCTGAAACTGCACCCATTAAATAATAACTCCCCACCCCACCCCCAGCCCCTGGTAACCTTGAATCCACTTTCTATCTGTATGGATTTGACTATTCCAGGTACCCCTCATATAAATGGAATTATATGCACTATTTGACCTCTCGTCTGGTTTATTTCACTTAGTGTAATGTCCAAGACCCATTCACAGTGTAGCATGTATCAGAATCCCTTCATTTTTAAGGGCAAATCATATTTCATTGTATGGATAGACCACATTTTGTTTACTATTCATCTGTCAGTGGACATTTGGGTTGTTTCCATCCTTTGGCTCTGGGAATAATGCTGTTCTGAGCACTGATGTATAAACATCTGTTCAGGTCCCCGCTTTCCATTCCTTTGGGTGCACGACTAGGAGCAGAATTGCTGAGTCATGCAGTAATTGTGTTTAACTTTTTGAGGACTCACCATCCTGATTTTCCACAGTGGCTGCACCCTTTTACATTCCTACCAAGAGTGCACAAAGGTTCCAATTTCTCCACATTCTCTCCAACGTTGATTGTTTGCCATTTT